GCGTCGTGTGCTCCACTGACTCCGCGCACCCCCCACCAGGCCTGCGCGCGGCGATCTGTGCGACGTGGTACAGCAAGCTGGGGCATCACGGAGGACGAGGTTTTCGTGTCCGACGGTGCCAATGCGACATTGCGCGCCTGCAGGTGGGTGCTTGAGACTGCAGGTGGGTGCTTGACACTGTAGGCCCTCGCACGGCCTCTGTGCAAGCTGGGCATCACGGAGGACGAGGTGTTCGTGTCCGACGGTGCCAAGTGCGACATTGCGCGCCTGCAGGTGGGTGCTTGAGACTGCAGATGGGTGCTTGACACTGTAGGCCCTGAGCACGGCCATCTGTGCAAGCTGGGCATCACGGAGGACGAGGTGTTCGTGTCCGACGGTGCCAAGTGCGACATTGCGCGCCTGCAGGTGGGTGCTTGAGAATGCTCAGTGATTTCTTACGAGACAAAGCCAATCCCTCATGCCGCCATGCCCCCGTATGTGTTTCTCTGGTTCTTGTATGGACGTGCTTCACCGGGTCGTTTCCACTGTCTCACCGTCTTCTCAACTCCCCCATCCATTCCCCATCGCTCAACCATGATGTTTGGGCGCTGACGTCACCATGGCCTGCCAAGATCCCTCCTATCCGGTATGGCCCATCTCCGCTCCCCCATCCTCCCCCCCCATCTTCGCTCCCCCATCCTCCCCCCCCATCTCCGCTCCCCCATCCTCCCCCCCCATCTTCGCTCCCCCATCCTCCCCCCCCATCTCCGCTCCCCCATCCTCCCCCCCCATCTCCGCTCCCCCATCCTCCCCCCCCATATCCGCTCCCCCATCCTCCCCCCCCATCTCCGCTCCCCCCTCCCCCCTCCCCCCCCATCTCCGCTCCCCGATCCTTCCTCCCCATCCCCGCTCCCCCATCCTCGCTCCCCCATCCTCGCTCCTCCATCTCGCTCCCCCAATCCTCGCTCCCTCATGCTTGCTCCCCCATCCCCTCTCCCCCATCCCTTTTCCCCCATCCTCTCTCCCCATCCTTAATCCCCCCTCTTAGCCCTCCCTATTTTCACTGGCCATGCTGTTCAATATGGCAATGACAATCCTTGCCAATCACATGCATCCCTCTGGCTCGTGGGTGGGGCACCACACGACATGGCATGGCATGGCATGGCATGGCATATCATGACACGGCATGACTATGGCATGGCAGGCATACGTGTGATGATGGGTCAGACGGGGCTGTACGTGCCAGAGACGCAACAGTTCGTTAACATCTCACCTACCTGCGCTGCTCACCTATGAACCACTTTTGCTTTCTTGACATTTCCCACTCCCCCGCCCGCCCTGTCTCCCATCAGGCGTACGTGGACACGAGTGTGATGATGGGGCAGACGGGGCTGTACGCCCCAGAGACACAGCAGTTCGATAGCATCACCTACCTGCGCTGCTCACCCGAGAACGACTTACGTTTCCTTGACATTTCCCAACTCACCCCCCTGGCTCCCATCAGGCATACGTGGACACGAGTGTGATGATGGGGCAGACGGGGCTGTACGCCCCGGACACGCAGCAGTTTGGCAACGTGACGTACCTGCGCTGCTCCCCCGAGAACGACTTCTTCCCAGACCTCGCCTCCGCGCCGCGCACCGACATCATCTTCTTCTGCTCGCCCAACAACCCCACCGGTGAGCCACAGCAGGATTTCTTGAAGCTCCACAACCCCACCCACCGTTCAGCCCACATCTCTCCTCCTGTCCCACCTTATCCCGTCTCTTATCCAGCAACGCCCACTCAACGCCCTTCCTCTCATCCCTCCCCTCCCCCCCCCTCCCCTCCCCTCCCCTCCCCTCCCTCCCTCCCTTGCACCATGCAGGGCGGGCGGCGTCACGGCAGCAGCTGCAGCAGCTGGTGGACTTCGCGCGTGCCAACGGGTCCATCATTGTGTATGACTGTGCCTACGCCATCTACATCGAGGATGACTCGCCCAAGTCCATTTACGAGATCCCTGGCGCTGATGAGGTGGGACCATGCGGGCATGAATGGTCTGAGAGTGCTAGTTCTGTAGTTGTGACTTTTGACCAGCGCTACGTCTCTTTGCTCCCCTTCTTCAACCCTTCCATATCGCCAACCTCAACCCCTCCCCCCATCCCCCATCCACAGGTGGCCATTGAAACGGGTTCTTTCTCAAAATACGCTGGTTTCACCGGGGTGCGTCTGGGCTGGTCCGTGGTGCCAGCAGCGCTGCACTATGCCTCCTCGTTGTCCCTCTCCGCTCCCTCGACACCTCCCCCCCCCCCTTTTCCCCCTCCCCCCCCATCCACAGGTGGCCATTGAAACGGGTTCTTTCTCAAAATACGCTGGTTTCACCGGGGTGCGTCTGGGCTGGTCCGTGGTGCCAGCAGCGCTGCACTATGCCTCCTCGTTGTCCCTCTCCGCTCCCTCGACACCTCCCCCCCCCCCTTTTCCCCCTCCCCCCCCATACCCAGGTGGCCATTGAAACGGGCTCTTTCTCCAAGTACGCGGGTTTCACCGGTGTGCGTCTGGGCTCGTCCGTGGTCCCAGCAGCGCTGCGCTACACAGACGGTCATCCAGCGCGCGCGGACTTCAACTGTCCCCCTCTTCTCCACCCAACCCCTCCCTCCTCTCCAGGTGGCCATTGAAACGGGCTCTTTCTCCAAGTACGCTGGCTTCACCGGCGTGCGTCTCGGCTGGTCCGTGGTCCCAGCAGCGCTGCGCTACACGGACGGCCATCCGGTGCGGGCGGATTTCAACCGTGTCACCTGCACGTGCTTCAACGGCGCCAGTAACGTCTCCCAGGCAGGAGGCCTTGCGTGCCTCTCTCCTGAGGGCCTCGAGGCCATGGCAACGCTGGTGTCGTTTTACAAGGCCAATGCAGCCATTCTCAAGGCCACATTTGAATCCCTGGGCTATGAGACGCACGGGGGGGACAATGCGCCGTACGTGTGGGTGCGCTTCCCTGGGCGCTCCTCCTGGGACGTGTTTGCTGAGATTCTGGAGAAGGCTGATATTGTCACCACGCCTGGGAGCGGGTTTGGGCCCGGTGGGGAGGGGTTCGTGCGTGCGAGTGCGTTTGGGAGCCGTGCGAACATTGAGGAGGCGGCGCGGCGGATCACGAAGCTGTACTCGTTGTGAGTGCGGAGGGGTTATTAGGGCCGCGGCATAGAGGGGCGTGTGGTTGTGGAGTGGTGGCAGGGAGTGATGTGGGTAGGGAAACCTGTCGGATCGATGTTTGTGCAAGTCCCAGTTGAAATAACTAGGATCCTATGAGCATATGAGCAATATGACCACAGATCCTTCTCTCCTGTCATGCAAGCAATGCACACACAGACACAGCCACTTGGGTGGGAAAACACATGGCAAGAGCAGCAGCTCTCCCAACATTCTGCAGCACTCACCTGAAAACTGCAGAGTTCCCTCCCGCTACTACTGCGTGAGACACATCAGTGCAGCACCATGCACACAGAGGCAACAAGAGTCAGGACCTCACAGTGCTCTGGTCAGGTCTGGTTTGCAGAGGAAGCGAAAAAAACTCCAGCCGGTGAAAAAAAAAAACAAGAAACGAATTATATGAAGCACAACAGCAAGACATGCTTAGACGAATTCAACAGGTTTGAGTGCATTTCGCCTAGCAGGTTTCTCAATAACGCAGTTCAAGTAGAGCTGGTGTGCCTCTATCTCCCCACGGTCGGGCTTGGGCATGAGCGTCCAGTGCAGGCGGCGGTAGCGCAGCTGCTGCAGCACGGCCACATACAGCACCATGTCATCGACGGGCGCGTAGAACATCTCAAACCACATGAGGCCGCCTGGGTGGGGGACAGGAGTGGAGTAGGGTGGGGTGGGAGGAGTGGGACATGAGCGTCCAGTGCAGGCGGCGGTATCTCAGCTGCTGCAGCCCGGCCACATAGAGCACCATGTCATCCACTGGCGCGTAGAACATCTCAAACCACATGAGGCCACCTGGGGGAGAGGAGGGGGTGGGGGGTGGGGAGGGGTGAAGTGGGGTTGAGCATTGTTGCAGCACGGCCACGTACAGCACCATGTCATCGACAGGTGCGTAGAACATCTCAAACCACATGAGGTCGCCTGGGGAAGAGGAGGGGAGTGGGGAGGGGTGGAGTAGGGTGGGTTGGGGTAAGGCTAACTTGCTTTTGCAGCACGGCCACATACAGCACCATGTCGTCCACTGGCGCGTAGAACACCTCAAACCACATGAGGCCGCCTGGGGCAGGAGCGGGTAGGGGGGGCAGGGGCGGGGATGGGATGGGTGGGATGGGACGGGATGGGGTGAGTTCTTTTTTTAGGCAGCACGTGTCACAATAAGGGTTGAATTGATAGATTAGGGAATAGGATAAATGGCCTTAAGTAGCACAAACTAGGAGAAAGGAAATCCTAGGGAATCCTAGGAGGATCCAACCAATCCAACCAACAAACCAAAGATGGATGAGCTTTTGGATGGAGGGGGGGTTAGATAGGTTGGGAAAGAGAAATTCTACACCCAACCCAACCAAAAGCTAAACTTACTAAATATTAAACCCTAAAACTTTTCAAGGCTAACACACAAAGTGCAGCCTATTTCCAACAGGGGGAAGAACGCAGCTAGATGGGGGAAGAACGCAGCTGGGTGGGGGAAGAACGCAGCTGGGTGGGGAAGAAGGCAGCTGGGTGGGGAAGAACGCAGCTGGGTGGGGGAAGAACGCAGCTGGGTGGGGAAGAACGCAGCTAGGCGGGGAAGAACGCAGTTGGGTGGGGAAGAACGCAGCTGGGTGGGGAAGAACGCAGCTGGGTGGGGGAAGAACGCAGCTGGGTGGGGAAGAACGCAGCTGGGTGGGGGAAGAATGCAGCTGGGTGGGGGAAGAACGCAGCTAGGTGGGGGAAGAACGCAACTGGGTGGGGGAAGAACGCAACTGGGTGGGGGACGAACGCAGCTGGGTGGGGAAGAACGCAGCTGGGTGGGGGACGAACGCAGCTGGGTGGGGGACGAACGCAGCTGGGTGGGGGAAGAACGCAGCTAGGTGGGGGAAAAACGCAGCTGGGTGGGGGAAGAACGCAGCTGGGTGGGGAAGAACGCAGCTGGTGTGGGGAAGAACGCAGCTGGGTGGGGGAAGAACGCAGCTGGTGGGGGAAGAACGGAGCTGGGTGGGGGAAGAACGGAGCTGGATGGGGGAGAACGCAGCTGGGTGGGGAAGAACGCAGCTGGGTGGGGAAGAACGCAGCTGGGTGGAGGAAGAACGCAGCTGGGTGGGGGAAGAACGCAGCTGGGTGGGGGAGAACGCAGCTGGGTGGGGGAAGAACGCAGCTGGGTGGGGGAAGAACGCAGCTGGGTGGGGGAAGAACGCAGCTGGGTGGGGGAAGAACGCAGCTGGGTGGGGGAAGAACGCAGCTGGGTGGGGAAGAACGCAGCTGGGTGGGGAAGAACGCAGCTGGGTGGGGGAAGAACGCAGCTGGGTGGGGGGAACGCAGCTGGGTGGGGGGGGAACGCAGCTGGGTGGGGAAGAACGCAGCTGGGTGGGAAGAACGCAGCTGGGTGGGGGAAGAACGCAGCTGGGTGGGGGAAGAACGCAGCTGGGTGGGGGGGGAACGCAGCTGGGTGGGGGAAGAACGCAGCTGGTTGGGGGAAGAACGCAGCTGGGTGGGGGAAGAACGCAGCTGGGTGGGGAAGAACGCAGCTGGGTGGGGAAGAACGCAGCTGGGTGGGGGAAGAACGCAGCTGGGTGGGGGAAAACGCAGCTGGGTGGGGGAAGAACGCAGCTGGGTGGGGGAAGAACGCAGCTGGGTGGGGGAAGAACGCAGCTGGGTGGGGAAGAACGCAGCTGGGTGGGGGAAGAACGCAGCTGGGTGGGGGAAGAACGCAGCTGGGTGGGGGAAGAACGCAGCTGGGTGGGGGAAGAACGCAGCTGGGTGGGGGAAGAACGCAGCTGGGTGGGGGAAGAACGCAGCTGGGTGGGGGAAGAACGCAGCTGGGTGGGGGAAGAACGCAGCTGGGTGGGGGAAGAACGCAGCTGGGTGGGGAAGAACGCAGCTGGGTGGGGGAAGAACGCAGCTGGGTGGGGGAAGAACGCAGCTGGGTGGGGAAGAACGCAGCTGGGTGGGGGAAGAACGCAGCTGGGTGGGGGAAAACGCAGCTGGGTGGGGGAAGAACGCAGCTGGGTGGGGGAAGAACGCAGCTGGGTGGGGAAGAACGCAGCTGGGTGGGGAAGAACGCAGCTGGGTGGGGGAAGAACGCAGCTGGGTGGGGAAGAACGCAGCTGGGTGGGGAAGAACGCAGCTGGGTGGGGGAAGAACGCAGCTGGGTGGGGGAAGAACGCAGCTGGGTGGGGGAAGAACGCAGCTGGGTGGGGGAAGAACGCAGCTGGGTGGGGGAAGAACGCAGCTGGGTGGGGAAGAACGCAGCTGGGTGGGGGAAGAACGCAGCTGGGTGGGGAAGAACGCAGCTGGGTGGGGGAAGAACGCAGCTGGGTGGGGGAGAACGCAGCTGGGTGGGGGAAGAACGCAGCTGGGTGGGGAAGAACGCAGCTGGGTCTGGGTGGGAAGAACGCAGCTGGGTGGGGAAGAACGCAGCTGGGTGGGGGAAGAACGCAGCTGGGTGGGGAAGAACGCAGCTGGGTGGGGGAAGAACGCAGCTGGGTGGGGGAAGAACGCAGCTGGGTGGGGGAAGAACGCAGCTGGGTGGGGGAAGAACGCAGCTGGGTGGGGAAAGAACGCAGCTGGGTGGGGGAAGAACGCAGCTGGGTGGGGAAGAACGCAGCTGGGTGGGGAAGAACGCAGCTGGGTGGGGGAAGAACGCAGCTGGGTGGGGGAAGAACGCAGCTGGGTGGGGGAAGAACGCAGCTGGGTGGGGGAAGAACGCAGCTGGGTGGGGGAAGAACGCAGCTGGGTGGGGGAAGAACGCAGCTGGGTGGGGGAAGAACGCAGCTGGGTGGGGGAAGAACGCAGCTGGGTGGGGGAAGAACGCAGCTGGGTGGGGAAGAACGCAGCTGGGTGGGGGAAGAACGCAGCTGGGTGGGGGAAGAACGCAGCTGGGTGGGGGAAGAACGCAGCTGGGTGGGGGAAGAACGCAGCTGGGTGGGGGAAGAACGCAGCTGGGTGGGGGAAGAACGCAGCTGGGTGGGGGAGAACGCAGCTGGGTGGGGGAAGAACGCAGCTGGTGGGGGAAGAACGCAGCTGGGTGGGGAAGAACGCAGCTGGGTGGGGAAAGAACGCAGCTGGGTGGGGGAAGAACGCAGCTGGGTGGGGGAAGAACGCAGCTGGGTGGGGGAAGAACGCAGCTGGGTGGGGGAAGAACGCAGCTGGGTGGGGAAGAACGCAGCTGGGTGGGGGAAGAACGCAGCTGGGTGGGGGAAGAACGCAGCTGGGTGGGGGAAGAACGCAGCTGGGTGGGGAAGAACGCAGCTGGGTGGGGGAAGAACGCAGCTGGGTGGGGGAAACGCAGCTGGGTGGGGGAAGAACGCAGCTGGGTGGGGGGAAGAACGCAGCTGGGTGGGGGAAGAACGCAGCTGGGTGGGGGAAGAACGCAGCTGGTGGGGGAGAACGCAGCTGGGTGGGGGAAGAACGCAGCTGGGTGGGGAAGAACGCAGCTGGGTGGGGAAGAACGCAGCTGGGTGGGGGAAGAACGCAGCTGGGTGGGGAAGAACGCAGCTGGGTGGGGGAAGAACGCAGCTGGGTGGGGGAAGAACGCAGCTGGGTGGGGGAAGAACGCAGCTGGGTGGGGGAAGAACGCAGCTGGGTGGGGGAAGAACGCAGCTGGGTGGGGGAAGAACGCAGCTGGGTGGGGGAAGAACGCAGCTGGGTGGGGGAAGAACGCAGCTGGGTGGGGGAAGAACGCAGCTGGGTGGGGAAGAACGCAGCTGGGTGGGGGAAGAACGCAGCTGGGTGGGGGAAGAACGCAGCTGGGTGGGGGAAGAACGCAGCTGGGTGGGGGAAGAACGCAGCTGGGTGGGGGAAGAACGCAGCTGGGTGGGGGAAGAACGCAGCTGGTGGGGGAAGAACGCAGCTGGGTGGGGAAGAACGCAGCTGGGTGGGGGAAGAACGCAGCTGGGTGGGGAAGAACGCAGCTGGGTGGGGGAAGAACGCAGCTGGGTGGGGGAAGAACGCAGCTGGGTGGGGGAAGAACGCAGCTGGGTGGGGGAAGAACG